AAGACGTGCAAACATAGTCTTACGCGTTTGTTTTTAAACTAATAGGCAAGCGTTTCCCTCTGCAAGGGTCAACAACCGTTGCACTTTCTAATGCGCTATTCCCTCCGCGTCACCCACTGTGAGTTTTTCTTACTGCGTTCGTCTGGGGGCGTCCGAGGTTTGAACACAAGGCGAGCTTTCTTAGGTCTTGAGTTGTCCACGACGTTGAACTTGCTCCTCTTCGCCAGGCGCGTCCGGGACGGAAGGTCGTCCAGCTGACTTTCCCTTGTCGGGCCGGTCTCGTTCTTGGCCTCATGGTGCCTGGTGCTTGGATAGAACTGCTGGCGTTGGTCTCCGTCGACCGCTGTACAGATGGAGGTTTCCTTCGAAGCTGTCTTTTTTGCGTGAGGGTATTCACAGATGTCATTGTTGTCATTCCGGTGCTTTGTGAACGCGGAGGGTCCGTCGTGGGACGCCTCTGCTCCATCGTCGTTCCCCGCTCCAGTGTCCGGCCTTTTTGGCGTGTCGTATGGCGCCTCCGGTGCAGGGGTCTCTACAGCTTCCTCTGCCTCGGTTGCGTCCATGAACATCTCCGACTCATCCTGCTCCTTGCGGTCCCGAGCGATGGAAGCATACGTTGTCACGCATTCCTCCGTCGCATGTCCAAAACGGTTGCAGTCCATGCATTGGTGAACGCGACATTCTCGCCGGATATGCCCGGTTCGTCTGCAGCGCGGGCACATAGGTGCTCTCCCTGGCACCAGGACCAGGACTCTGCATTTCTCCAGTCGCACTTCGTGGGGAATTTTGTCGACCGTCATACCCTCATGAACAGTCATTTGCACGAGACGGGTGTTTGACTCGACGTCTTCAAAACCTTGCTCTTTGATGCGCTCCCTGGTTATACTGGACACCTTTCCGAACTTTTCCAGCTCCTTTTGCACTTTGAATTTTGGTACATCATATGGTACCCAGTGAAGTTTTAGCATGACTTCATTGCTCACCGGGTCTAGCACGAGGCACTTCCCTCCCTTCACCACGCGTTCTTTCGCGTTCACCAGCCTTTGCTTCGCAGCTAAGGAATGCAGTCTCAACATCCACACATGGTTCATCTGGTACGCACCTGCTGATGCCAAGTCTTGCATTATGTCCAGTTTTTCCAGCTCTTGTCTGAAGTCCAGTATGCGGTAGGGGCGTTTCTCCACATCGCAGTGTAAAAACACCGCGTTCGTCGCGATCTATCCAGTGGGCAGGGATGGCAGCGTAACCTGATAATCGTTTACAGTTTCCTTCGCGTTATCTGCAGCAGAAGTACCACGGCCAGAAACGGCCGATGTAACCGCCCCTGCGGAGCGCATGACTCGAAGACCGTCTGCTATCGCTGCCGGAAGAAGAATCCAGACCAAGAGCGCGCTGCCTTCTTGGTGAGAAGAGCGCGCTGCCTTCTTGGTTTGTAGATATTGCGCTCGCGGCGATATTTACAAACAGAAGTTCTCACTAAATAAATGACAAATGCAAAACTTGTTAGAATTTTCCAGGGAAATGCAAAGACCTGCCAGGGTCATAATAGCTGGCAGTTCCAAAATTTAGAGCTTGCCGACTCAGATAAATCTGAATTGGCAAAAGTTTTACGGTCGATTGTTTTTTTGCGTTTTATCAGATTTATTTAAAAATGCAGAACCCAATGTGTAACACGTTCTGTGCTAAAAGCAATATTTGAATATAGCTAGGCCTTGATTAAAATAGCAGAAGGAGAGAAAATTTTGTATGAACATTAATTTCATTGTCTCGAATCCCATCATATTAAATTCACTTTTTATTACAGGGTGTCTGGCGTTCGGGGAAGCCGGGAACCGTCAGGGAAATTTTAAGTACCGGGAAAATTCAGGGGAATTGTCAGGGATGTTGTTAAAAAGTCTGTCAAGTTTGTAAGACTGAGCCGGAAATGGCATCGAGTTTCCTGAGCAAAAACTCGAATACTTGGGGGCAGAAAAATAGGCAATAAATTCTGCTTAGAGCGGAGCGCGGGCTCTGCTCAGCCGATGTAGAGTCTGCTACATGACGCAAAGGGACGAGCCAACAAATCTGGTCCAAGCCTTGCCTTACTTTGGATTGGATTAGATGGGATTGAGGGCATGACACTAAGCTAGATCCAGTTAGAGCTACTAGATTTAGTAACAAATGGGAAAGCCGCAGACCCCAATCCAAGCCTTAAGCCAAAAGTGTGAAAGTGTGCATCTGGCGGCCATGTTTTCATTGTGTTTCCGGTAGTAGCCTCTTCACTGACGATGTCGGCGGCAAGAAAGTGCTCGTTTAATCCAGACTGGACGAACCCGAATATTTCGGAATATGCAAGGTGGATTAAGTCCGCGCAAAACGACCCTCACGGTGCTCAATGCTCAGTGTCTTGTGTTTTAATGTTGTTATATATTTAACCGCCTGTACAGTGGTCAGTGATTTTCACCGAAAATTGTCAGGGAAAACCTACAAACGTCAGGGAATTTTAAATTAATATTTTGTTAGACAGCCTGTATCAACATCACGCAAACCTCCAAAGGTGCCAACTACATATCTCATGTGGCTTCCACCTATGCTGCAATGCAAGTGGAAGCTTGACATGTCAAGCTTCATCCCTTAACGCTGGCTTCCTTGGAGCAATGCCGTATGACCTCCCTGATAAACTTGGTTGACTGAAATTTAGCTCCTTCCCACATGTCGACCCTATGATAATAGGTTGGCCCTTACTTTGATGTTCTTTTAAATAATGCTTGATAAAAAAATGGTAACTACCGTATAAACTCGTGTAAGGGCCGCACTATTTTTTCCCGATTTGAGGGCAAATTTCAAGATACACGGATAAAAAAAAATCTGTATCCACATTTAGAAATGAACGTACATGAGCGCGCTCGGCTCCACTGGTCGAAAACGCATTCACTCTGGAATCCGGACTGAATCGTCAGTCGGATTTAATTAGTTTACATACTGGGCAATATGCATCTTTTTTTTTGTACTTGATAGCATGCGCGGCAACTTTCGACTTGAATCCCGTATGACTGTTGAAGTGGTACTTGCCCATAGATCTGATTGCGCGAAAAGGCAGACAAATCACGACGCTTTGACACGAATCGAAGAACAAAACAAAACCTCCCCAGAGCGTACAGTGGCGTTCATAAACCTGAGTGCACGCGCGAACCGAGCCCGCTGAATCCCCATTCCTCGCGCTTGCCACGGAAGATGACATATCCTTTATCTTTTCTCAATGTCTTCCGGCCGCAACATAAACGCATCCCGACGGTGCGGCCAAACACGATCGAGGTCGGGAGCCATTGTGCTATACGGTGATACGGATGAGTGGAGAGCGAATATCGGGATGCGGAGACGTGCCGCTACGTGCTCGCGCGGTGGCTAGAGCCACCTAGCGATATATATTCATAGAAACTTTCATGCATTGCACTCGGCGCGCCTCAAGAACAAGGGGGTGCGGCGCATACACGAATAATTTCTCTAATTTTATTTTGAAATATTTTGTCCTAAATACGGGGGTGCGGCCCTTACACGTGATTATACGGTACTATTTAATAAGTATTTTAATTACTTGTGTGAGATAGTTCTATCATCATATACATGCAATGTCACTTTCTGCTTGGCAGAAAATCTTTCCTCAGTATATAAGCCTACTGCACAAAAACAAAAGAAGTACAGAGAGAGAGAGCACCGTCCTTGTCATTTTGTTTCCCTATCTTTTTTTTGTATTCATTCCGTTTTGGCACTGTAGGCTTGTAAGATGCATCACCAACAAGCTCAAGCTGCCACCTTCTCAGTGCCGTTTCCCCCTTCCTTCTGGCTGTGTTCGTATTTCAAAAAAGAAAAAAAAGCTGGTGAGGGAGTTTATCTCCTCAGAAAAGAAAACAGGCCTCATACTTTATGGGAGAAGGTAGAAATTTAAAGAGGCCCTGCAATCTTATGTAAGCCTCTACCTTTTTTGCGGTTTCCATGTCTCTTGAAGTTCGGGCAAGTCAGCGGGCACGGAGAGAGTAACTAAGTATCAGTGCGTTATATTTTAACCGGACGACGCGGAAACCTCTTCCACCGACGAGGGCGATCCGCAGTACCGAAAGCGCGCAAAATGTGACGTCTTTGTTCCTGGGCTTACTACTGGTCAGAGCCGCTAAAAGATTTTTTTTAGTCGAAATACAAAATATAAGTGGCGCAAACCGTTTCAATTACTTATAAAAGTAGTTTTTGTTCACCATTTTAGAGGAGAAAAGAAACAGATCCACCCTATAAAGTGCGGAAACAAGAAATGACCCGTCGACATACCCGCCACCAAGCGGTGGAAAAGGCGGCGCATACTGAAAAAGAGTAGTGGGATCAGGCGCCGACACGGAAAGGTCCCGGATGTACGCGGCGGCGCTGCGGTCGTATGGATATGAGGATCCGACCGGCTCCGAGCGTTCCGAAGGCCGTCGGCGAGATGCTTTGTCTTGTGGTTTGGCCGTTTCGCGGTATGGCAGCGCGGAGTGGTTCCCATTCTGAACCGATCTTTACCCCGTGTTTGCTGTCGTTTGTGGCCAATGAAGTGTCATGCCGAATTAGTGTTTAGTCGCGCAGCAAATGCAATGAGAGCCGCTCTGGCTGCCCGCTGCATGCAGCCTAACCAGAAAATGCTTTGGTGGTGCCCTCTCGCACCGTCAACGCGGAGTGCGCCAGCCGTGAGCTCCCGCGATGAGCCGACTAGCCCTTCCTTAGTTCACGGCCACTCAAGCAACCCAAGGACGTCATGAGGAAGCTTATTTTTTGCTTGTTTTTGTCATTTTAATTTGCCTATAACTTTTAAAACAAAGCGAATTTCGAGAAAAGTAAAGTTCCACTAAGTTACTACGTTCAGTGCGCTCAGGTTCGGTGCAAATTAAAGACCAGTAAAAAATTCCTTGCAGGGCCCTTTTAAGGGCTCTTCCTACCTTTCTGTGTATATGTAAGGTCTAAGCATATAATCACATGCGTTCCATTTCTACTTTCAGCCATTTTTGGAACCCGGTGACATGCAAGCACTGCTAGACGCAGGCACGAACTCCATCTTCGTTCGGGACATCAGCAGAGCGCTATGGCCGGATAACCTGAGGAACAGAAGCCTCACAGGAACTCCCTGCCGTCGTCTTTTGAAAAGTGGCGCATTGGGAACGAGAGCCCTGACTTCTCGAAAACTGATATATATTCGCCGTAAGTAAGCATTCTTTTACTTTTGTTTAAAACGTTAGTCTCTTCCTTTCTTTTGTCTGCCTTTTCGACGATTCAAAGTATTTCTTCTAGCGTCAGGGCGGTCCGTTTCCTACACATCGTCGTCCGTAGTAGTGCGCCGCAGTGAGCCAGCACGTACTGCAAACGTGTGGAAGGGTTTCGAGCATTGAGCTTGTTAACTTTTGCAAAGACAGGAGCGAGCGCGACAGATCAATGCCAGAGGCACGGAGAGAATGCGGGTAATAGCCGAGCACGAGTTGGGCAGGAAACTGAACATTGTCATTCTTTCATGGAACAAGAAATACAGGAAGGGGAATCAAAGTAGAAAGAGAGAAAAGCGGTGGCGCAAGGGGAGAATGTAGGACGTACTGTTCTAACGATGGGGACGAATCTCGGGAATGTTTTGCTAATGCTGCCTGGGAGACTCACGTGCCTGTGTGCACATGCATTCTTTGGTTCTCAGTGTTTTCCCGCAGGTCATCGTATGAGGAAGGACAGGTGAATCTCTCAACGTGTAATACGGACATTGCTTTTATGGGGAGCTAGCCAGGACTGTGTTAATTCATTGTGAAATGCAGGACGTCGCATAAACCAGGGATGTGTAGTTGAGGTTCCCCTGTAATGTGGGCCGCACCGCTACTGCGTGGAAAAATCTCAACTCCCAGCTGTTGAGCTTTCCTTTGAAAGCTCTGAATTGAGGTATCAGGTGTGCCACTTTGCAAAGTAACTGTGGGAACCAAAGGTTTTAATACCTTTCCACATATGCAGAAAAAATATATTTTTCGTGGCAGCACTGCTCAGCTGAAGGGACTGTTTTTCGCCCACATGTCCATAAACCCTGTACGAAGAGCCTTTTGTAGACACAAAGATTGGTTGCCACTAGCCGTGACAGCACTAATTATTGTTGTTTTCTCTCCAAGACTTTATTTTCCAGGATGTCAATTTCGTGGCGGTGGCATCACAGCTTTTTCAGGCCCAGCACTCGTACAGCGACAAGGGCACATTTCATGCCAGCAATTATTTATTTATTTATTTTTATTTTAAAAATACTGTCAGTCCCCATTAGGGTATGGTACAAATAAAATCAAGCAGCTATCGGTACAAATAAAAAGCACACAACATTTTTGAGGTGCGCAAAAAACAGTAATTTTTACTCAAAGTTCAATGAAATTTGAGGCATCATACACGATATGCATTTGCAGTGACCTTTCTTTACAGGCTTCGACTGTGAAGTAAATAAAAGGCAAATTGTGTTGAGTTCGTTGAGACAGGGAAAGGTCAGTCTGCCTCAGATTAATTTTAACCATTTAACCAGTGCGGCATGACTGCTAGCCTGGGGTCTTTAACGTGCATCACACAGCAGTGATTACACGTACGCGCGCCAGTACGATGCTCATCCAGATTGAAACGGGCAGGGCAGGCATCGAACCCGGGATCAATGGGTTCTTCATCGCGCGCTTTCGCTCCACATGCTCCAAGCTTAGACGCGTTAGGCCACTCGGCCACCGTTTTCCCCCGACAGTGAAGTCGGGATTGATAAATTTATGTAGTTATAAGGCATGAAATCAAACATCACAATCAAGAAATTCGTGCCCCTATTGTTAGGGCTTCTGATGCCTCATTTTCGAATAAGCAAGCGTCATTCTATCATGTATAGATTGTTTTATGGTGGGTGGCACCGTTTTCAGACTGAGAGAGAAGATGGGAAAGGGGGGAGGGGCTACCGGGACTTTCTCACTTGCTGGTGTGTTAGAAAGAGGGGAAGTCCCGGATGAGAGTCTTCGCCCGTGTTGGTTGTATGCATTTGCCGAACTTCGTTCGCGCTTTCTTCTCTGTTTTAAACTCCCAAACTTAATAAGAAAGTCCTGCGGTCATCGGGCCCACATATCTCGGGTATAGGGTACACAAATAACTACAGAAAGCGTCGAATACTGTCCGAGGATCTATGTAGCTTGCACGGAATCCGGCAATGCGAGTGCGGCTGCAGTGTCTTGAAGCTCCATCGCTTTCCGCATGCACTCTTAGAAAAAAGGGTATGGATAGTCCTCCCTTAGGGGAGGAACGGTCTTGTAACCTATGTTCCTTTAGAAAGGGAGAAACTTTCGTCCCTGAAGCAGGGGAGCAAAGTTCCTCCGTCGCCTGCATCTCAATATGGCGGCTCCGAATCGAGCAAATCGAGCCCAATAAAGCTTAACGAGGACGCTACGTCTCTTGTACGGGACGTAAATAAAAGCGTCACACGAGCTTTCCACAAACTGTGTTTATTTGCGAAGCCAGATGCCCCTCACCGATACAGAAACTTCCGTTTCGAAAGCAGTTACTCAGTCTTCTCGTCGACAGCACTGCGATGTTAAACGGAGACAACCGATACCCAGTTACTTCGCGCACTTTGCGTCTTACCTTTGGTGTTCCCCGAGTCACAATTCCTTCGTCAACCGCACATCACGGAGAAGGGCAAACTGAATCCGCGAACCAAAAGCCGCTCTCGAAAGAACAAACTCGAAGCCGCTGTTTATCGCGTAGCGTAAAAGGTTAAATCGCTAGCCACCAGATTGCGGGGTCAAGCAGAGTAATTGCAAGCAGCTAGGCTAGGTGGCACTAGGTACCGCACAATTCATGTTCTACAAAAAATAATTTACTCTTCCTGCGCTTCAGAGCCGCTCTCCTGCCCTTGGGGATCCTCTACTATGCACACGATGCACACATTACGCTTATTACAAGCATCACGTGAACAGACATTGAGCACATACACGGCACACACAAATATCAATACAACGGAACACCACACTAACCCGAACACTACACCCGTGCTCTGCGTTTCTGTCTTTTATACTGGTCGTTTTGAACGTACGGAACATTTCGGTGACTCCCTAAGCAATAAAAAATATTCCCAGCATGTTGATTTTTTTCCAGCAATGTCATACCTCTGAGAGTATTTTAAATGGCTCAGGGGATGAATCTCTTATCAAAAAGTAAACACTCGATCATGTCGTAATTATTTGAAAGCCAATAAGTCAAGCCGCTCCAATGCGGTTCGAAGCCATGAGTTTGTTTCCCCACTCGGCACGTCATAGCCTATATTTCTATTGGTTTTTCTATTTGTGCTGTTCGCGGAAAGCTGCAATTGCCGTCTTGAATTAATCTCTGTAGAGCGGATATTCACTCAGCTGGAAGTGATGCTTCACATGCTGAGAAATCGCTTTTCGATCAACTTGAATGCAGTCAAAGCCGCGGCTTGCGGCAGGTGTTCAGTGTACGGAGCTACGCCGTGGCGAGCCCAAAAACTTCTAGCGCTCATCCCAGCGCGCCACTTGGAGGGCAGTTTCTCCTGGAACCGTAGTATATTTGAACAGCAAAATAAAGGGTAGTTATTTTTTTCGATTTTACCTACTATTGTTTTTTGATGCCGAAATTCCATACTGTAAACATACGTACTTTCCGTCACGATTTCGTACTGTTCAGTCCTTGCCCCATAGCGCAATCGCTCTCGGGGACGAGACAATTCCGACAGTCATATTGGCCACTGTACGATAGCGAAGGAGCCTCTACTGCTCAGACCAGCGTTCCAACATGACTATCCGCACGCTGATCGATTGCACGTAATCCCTCAAGTGGTACTAAACTTTTTAATGTAAAGCGGAATGTCAACCTGCGACACCCCGCCCCTCATCACGGCCCGACCAACGGCATCAATGCCCGACAGTTTATGATCTCATCTTGTTGTTACACCACTGATACGCGAACACACGGTCACATCGGCGATAATTCCAGTCTTCTGTTCACAACCCACAACACTGCCATCACGATGTTGCAGCTATGTTGCTGACACGCACAAATACAGAACCACGTTGTACGCCGGTTGCACTCGGCATCGGAAAACAGAACCGAACTCAGCACGGAAGGCACCCAGGCAGCCGGCAGCAAAACCTGCCTGTCTTGGACGCAGTGCCTGCGGTTTCCATAACGTCGACACAGTTCCGCGTGGTTTCGCTACTGTACCGACTGTAGCTCCGTCGGTTCGCCACGCGCGCGAGTCCCGCAATCCGGAGACGGCCATCCCCCAGTGTACGTGGCGCTGCTGGCACTGCTCCGGAAATTCGCTGTTTCTAGCGGCTTCGTTTGCTCGTTTGATAAAATTAGTGATTAAAACGTCAATGGAACCGAAATGTTCTGCACGTTTAGACTAGAAGACGGAATTACAGGCGGCCTTCACTGTCGCTGAAGCTCAATCAACTCAACAGCTATTTATTAAACAACGTGCGCGACCTGCTCGAAAAACGAAACTGAAAGAAGATGAGTCGGGAGGGTGAAAGCTTTCTCCCGTCTGCCTGGAGAAGGAGAAAGACGTTCCGTTCCTCCAGTTTTCTCGTGGCCGCTTGGGGGCTCGTCAGTAGAAGGGAGGAAGACGCGTCGTTGCTACTTTTTTCCTCCATATTTTCTTAGAGAGTGACCCCGATCTCCGGTGGCAGTGGGTTGCATTCATAAACCGAAAATACCTTTCCCCAACGCCATCCTCCGTGCTCGGAACATTTTGTGAATGAAGCGTTCACCGAAATTAACGTTGTACCGTCGATAAACATAGGGTACGCTCGCAAGGTGCGTGCAAGTTTTGTCGTGAAAATTGCTGTTTCACCTTGTAACGTTTTGTAACTGAGTTTCTCTTAATATTCATATTTTGAAGTGGTGACACTGGCTCAATTTTATCATCTACAGTACCTAGTTCAAGGCTCATTTCTACCGCCGAGAGTGCCTGGATATTGTCGAAAAGTTAGTTGTATCGGTTTTCCTGAATCGGCAATGTCCTGCGTGATACCAGAGCGCCGTGAACCCAAGCTTACCGTCACAATCCGACTAAATTCTTCTTATTTTTAAAATTTGAACACAATGTAGCTGGAAAGCAACATTCAATTTCTGTTGCTGAAAGTTAAAACATGCTCTAGCATCGATTTTGAATCTTTGAATCATTGATCGACTTTTTCGGCAATAGGCCCATCTCATTTTTGCTATTTTCACTTCTCGACAAAACACACTCGTCGAAACGTTTTATTTGAGGATCCTGTGTCAAGAGTGTGTCTTTTTTCGAGAACTGAAAACGGCAAAGTCGAGATGGGCCTATTGCCGAAGCGAGACGATCAATAATTCAACGATTCGAAATCAATGCATGAGCATGTTTCAACTTTCAGCTACAGAAAATGAAGGCTTCTTTCCAGCTACATTATGTACTGAAATTTGAAAATAAGCAGAATCTAGTCACGTTGCGACAGTCAACATAAATTCGCGGCTCTCTGGTACCGCGCAGGAGATCGCGATTCAGGAAAACCGATAGAACTAACTTATCGACAATTTCCAGCCACACCCGGCGGCAGAAAATAGCCTTCGACTAAGTATTGTAGATGATAAACTCGAGCCAGTGTCACCACTTCAAAACATAAATATTAGGATAAATTCAGTTACAAAAAGTTACAAGCTGAAACAACACTTATCACAAGAAAGCTTGCAGGCACCTTACGTGTGTACCCCATGTTCATCGACGGTACAGCGTTAAGTTCGGTGCACGCTCCATTCACAAAATGTTCCGAGCACACAGGACGGTATTGGGGAAGCGTCTTTTCGGTTTACGGATGTAACCCACTGCCGCCGGAGATCAGTCATGTGGAAAGCGATGTAGCCTCAGAACATTGCAGCTGCACTCGCATTGACAGATTCTGTGCAAGCTACATAGGTCCTTGGACAGTATTCAACGCTTTCTGTCGTTACTTTTGCACCCTATAACGAAGGAATGGTGTCCCGATGACCGGGGGACTGTCGCTATATAAGCTCTAATTACGTTTGGGAGCTTAAAACACAAAAAAGCGCAAACGAAGGACACACCATATCTGACAGATGAACTCCATTCGTTTGTCAGATATGGTGTTTTCGCGCCTCCCCGTAAACGCAACTGGACGCCTGCACTCTACAAGCTCTGCCACGTACGTTTGTCGCTTTGGGTTGTTCTTTCTATTGTGTGATTTTCTGGAAGTGAAGATATGTGAAACTGACTATGTTGCTGTCGAGGAAGTGCTCCTTTAACTTCAACTGGACATACCCGGACATATCCACGAATACAAGTTGTATTTGGCCCGTTCCAAATAATTCAAATAGAGCTTACTGCACAATGTGCTGCAAGAAGTTCTCCTTGAGCAACATGGGGAATAGGGCGATTACTACTCATGTTGAGGGTAAGAAACTTTAAGCTGCTATGAAATATTTGCAAGGCGTTTCCCAGAGCCCAATGGTATTTTTCAAGACTGCGACAAATGTGGACTTGCCTTCCGCGACAGCAACGGGCATTTTGTCCAGAGGTAGCGATAGTGCTTGTAGGACTCCAGCAATGCATCTAACCACCGCCACGGAAGCTCTTAGCCCCTATGTGAAGGCGTCGGTGGGTGGCTTTTTATTGAAGAAGGAAGTCGCAAAGGCCGAGATCATGTGGTGTTTGAACACTATAATTACTCGTGGATCTTTCCGTTTAGCGCCAGCGTCTGCCTCGCTGTTTCCTTTGATGTTCCTCATGTGTGAGACCGCCAGAAAAATGCAGCATAGAAAAGACAAAGTGGGGTATACCATATGTCATGCTATCGGCCCATATTTTCAAGAGCAGTTGCTAGCAAGCCTTTCTAGCGTGCCATATTTGCTGGTTGCTTTTGATGAGTCACTGAACAAAGTAACTCGGAGAGAACAAATGAATATACTGAATCAAAATTAACTGTTGGGCTAGTTGGCTCTCCTGTCCCCTCTTCTTTTCCTTGGTATTTGCTCTTTTGAATTTTTACACAATGGATATACTGGTCAGGTACTGTGGCCAAACTCACTGAATCAGAAAGCCTGGTCAATGCGATATTCTAAACATCTTCCAAAGTAAATAAAATATTTTGCATTGTGAATAGTGTCTATCTATAATATATTTTGTTTTGGTGTTGGTAGTTGTGGGTCAGAGAATTCAAATAAAATAGTCAGGGGAAACCTGGAAATGTCTGGGAATTAAAAAAAAAAGCAATTTTGTAGACACCCTGGTTAGGCTCTAATTTTAGCTGCCTCAAAACCGCAATTACGACATGGCCCGAAAGACTACCAATTAAAAAGATAATAAACACATTTCGGTTAATAGTCAAATATTGTTGTGGTTATCCACCCACCTAATGTACCCCGAGCCCCCCCCCCCCCCCCCCCCCCAGCACCCAGTGAAGACAGCATCGATGTAGCAATGAGCTCTTTTTCAAGAAACTGTTTCAGTTTTTACCTATGTTCTGTTGTTACTTACTCTTTTTTTAAATTCTCTCGGATGTTGTTTAAGGTCTTGCGTTCGCTGGTACCAGTCACCTACTTAATATTACATTATATTCCAAGGGCCCTCGCGGCGTACATTGAGAGGAACCCGTCACCAGTTGTGTCGGCCGCCCTGAGACTTGGTCAGCTCAACACGCACATCCGGAGGCTGCTGAGAGATGAGAACAGAAAGTGCCACTGAGCAGCAGCAGCAGCAGCAGATTTTATACTGCGTGTCACTAGTTACTTGCAGTACAGGCGAAGGCAACGTCAAGCGAGGGGAGAAAGGGTAAGCAATAAGAAGGCAGGCTAGAAGGAGAGAATACTCTTTTCTTTAACGTTCTTATGCTGTCCCTTTGTCCCCTCATCCTCCATCGCCCTCCTCTCCCGTCCCGCCTTCCTAGTGTTCGCCCTTTCTCTCTTCGCCTGGCGTTGGGTTCGCCTGCACTGCACACAGCTACAGAATATAACTGCACTTTTATTGGGATTAACTTTCTGTTGCTTTTTACTAAAGCGTTTTTTTTTTATATTTATAGCAACGGAGTGTCACATCTCACGCTGAGTTCTAGTTTTTAATGTACCTTTTCCAAAAAAATTAAAAAAAATACGATGCTCATTTAATTTGGCACATATATTCTACATGTTACTGGCTTTGAACTGAACCCAAAAGAAAATAAATTTGAGCATGCAGCATGCAAGAAAAAAATATTGTTCTTTCTAGTCATAAGTCATTAGAGGGAAACTTTTATACATATATATATATATTTTTTTACGTTATAGTGTAGTGAATTCTTAAAACGTTTAGGTTTTTAGGTTCAGACTGTTGGCAAAATATTTTATCATAAGCTGTAAAAGTTCCAGTGTAATCGGATAAGTACTTTCTTAGTCAAGGTATAATAAATTTACAAAAATGTCATTTTGGGAGCGCTGATTTTTGTGCTATATATAAGTGGCTTGGGACGCTCATTCACTCTTGTTGCTCTCTGGTTTTGTTCCCCAGAGTGCATATAATGTTTTAACACTAAAACTGCATAATCAGTTTGAGCTAAAGGCAGCAAATGTTTGAATATACATTTATAATTCGTCCTTTATATTTTAAGTCACTATAGAAAATCAGACATTTTTAATATATTTGTAACCGTCTCGTCGTTTAAGTTTTCTTGGCAAGAGGCAAAACTCCTAATGTAGTACATGGCAAAAAAATATATAACCGCTTTAAACAAATTGGAAATGGAAGGCTCATAAAGTTTTGTATCTATGTGGTAGAGAGTTTATGATCTGCTTGTATATATCTTTATTGTGCTTTGATTTAGAAAATAAAGCGGTGCGTTATGAAGCTTGAGTTTCTCAGAAATGAAAGATAAGTTGGAAACCTAGCTCTTTAGATAGGTTTTGTGAGCAAATCTACCAAACCGTTGCATTTACGCTGTCAGTGTTCGACGATGACCTTGAACAAAGTTGCGTGCTGGTTCACGCCTGTGAAACCAGCACAATTTATACAACTCGCTTCTGTGCTTTGTCTCATATTATGATGTAAATGTATAATCTAATTCACTTGTATGGTCCTTGCATGCACGTAGCCAGGGGGGGTGGGGGGGCATGGGGGCCGGGCCCCCCCGAAATCTTCCATTTTGCTGGGGCCTTCTCTCCCCTCTCCCACTCATACAGCGTTTTGTCATGGGCAGCCCAACCCCCCCCCCCCCCTCCCCGAAACAAAATCCTGGCTACGTGACTGGATCCTTATACGAAGCAGGTGCGTGGACGGTGTGCCTGCCATATGGTTCCACAATGCTGGCATCGCCCTTCCGCTGGTATAGGATGTCCCCTAATACGTTATGCTTGTGTGGTTTCGTCCGTCTGCATGGTTCCGTTCGCCTCTATTGTTCCGAGCGACTACATGCAGTCGCTTGGAACCATGAAGGCGCACGGAACCACGGAGGCGCACACAACCATGCAGGCGAACAGAACCATGCAGGCGAACAGAACCATGCAGGCGAACGGAACCATGTATAGTTCCGTGCACCTCATGATACCGCAATAATCCACTACGCTGGTAAATGATGTCCCATAATACGACACGCTTGTATGGTTCCGTCCACCTGTATCATTCCATCTCAATCCGCTATTGTGGAGCCGCCTTTTCGCTGGTATAGGATCTCCCATGTTACGGTTGCGCTTCTATGAGGCTTTTTTCCATCATCTATCCGTTCTCACAAATTTTCCAACAGGGTAACAAACTTCCACCCAGATGACGTACTGTCAGGAGTCATAACCGCTGGAATAAGCGATCACATGCCCATGTTTTGTATTTTGCCTAAATTAAAAAAGTTAATAATACACCTGTTTCACGCTTATATCGTTATATATCGGAAGAGGCGTTAAATATATTTTACGCCTTATTACAAGAACAGAACTGGGAAAATGTCCTGTGTGAAAGAAATCCCGATAAGGCATACAATCTATTTTATGAAACATTGAAGGATTCCTATGAGACATCTTTTCCTCTACGATAAAAAAAAACAAAAAAAACACAGGAAAATCAGAAAGCCATGGATCACGCAGGAACTTTTCCGTAGGATAGGTGAAAAACATAAGAGTGTACGATCGCTTTGTTCAGACTCGAGATACTACTATTTTAACGGAATTCAAAAAGTATATAAATCGCCTGAACTCCGATATTCGAAAAACCAAAGAGGCTTTCTTTCAACGTAAGTTTAAAGACGCGCAAAATGATCCGAAAAAGATACGGGAAACTGTTGACGAAATCATTAGACTTAAGCCGCGTCACAACTGCTTACCCGATTTAAAAATAGACGGGGAATCGTTATCTGGAACTGAAAGAGCGACACGATTTAACACTCATTTCCTATCAGCTGGTGAGTCCACGTCTGCATGTCAGCCTGGTGACCATAGAAAGTACCTAAAAAACAATATTTCAAACTCAATCGTTCTTTATCCAGTAACTGAGCACGAAATAATTATGTTTATCATGTCCCTTAAAAACAATTCAGCTTGCGGTGTGGACGAGCTTAAAGTGGCAGCTATTAAATTTGTATCAAGCATTATTTCAATTCCTCTTACTCATACATGTAATTGTATATTTAAAAGTGGTATCTTTCCTGATCTATTGAGAATAGCAAGAGTTTCAACAATCTGTAAGGGTGGCTCAAAACATGATTTAGGAAGCTACAGACCAATATCAGTGTGGCCGTTGTTCTCAAAAGTAATTGAAAAAGCAATTAATGAAAGGCTTCAAACGTTTTTTCTAGGTACGATGTCATAATCAAACAAGAGTATGGTTTTTAAAAAGGAAAAACTACCGAACTAGCGCTTTTGTACATTAAAGAAAAAATATTACGTAATATTGAAGATCAACGTTTTACAATTGGTTTGTTTATCGATTTTAGAAAGGCTTTTGATTCCATAAAACATGACATACTTCGTTCAAAACTCGAGACATATGGCATACGGGGGACTGCGCATGAGCGTATTACAAGTTACCTTACATCTCGGACACAGTATACGGTTTATAATAACATAAAAACGCGTCTAGGTTAATAAAATATGGCGTACCGCAAGGCTCGATACAGGGACCTTTCCTGTTTCTCGTCTATATAAATGACAAACATAATCATCATTTAGCGAAGATATAATACTGTATGCCGATGATACAAATGCATTTTTTTCTGGGGCCAACCTTAGCGAAGTAGACACCACAATAAACAAATATTTAATTGAACTTTCATCCTGGCTGATGGCTAACGGTTTATCTCTAAATAGAGAAAAGACAAAATATGCAATTTTTTCCTCAACAAATCGCGCCCACAATACGCATATTGAACTGCAATTCGAAAGAGCTCACCTTGAGCCTGTCGATAATCATAAGTTTATTGGAGTATGATTTAACGAACGCCTCAATTGGACGCACCATGTAAATAAAATACGAAACGATATCTCAAAATCAATAGGCCTAATTTCATCGGCAAAGCATCTTTTACCGGAATGGCTGAAGCACCAACTGTATTATGCGCTGATATATACCAAGGTTTACTACTGCTTTCTTGTCTGGGGTCAGACGACAAAAACAAATATAACACATCTGCATTTATTACAAAAAAAAAAAAAAGCTGTTCGTCTAATGCACAATTCTGCTAATGATGCAAATACAGCTCCGCTTTTTGAGAAGTATAAAATTTTGAGCTTTGAACATCTCTACATTTATAAACTTACACTCTACATATTCCATGACCATAGAATTCAACAACCTAGCTATCCATCTGCATGCACTAGACCCGACCACCATTACAACACTTGAAACGACAAGTATATACTCCCCAAAATCGGGACAAACATGGGCAGACAAACGCTCTCATTTCAAATTCCAAACTTCATTAATACACACAGTTATCGTCATACACTTATTACGTCAAACATATCGCTAAACAGATACAAAAGCATAGTGAAAGAAACCCTCTTGCCCACAAATGTCGCAAACTGATCTGAAATATCTGGTTTTATCCTCTTTGCTATCTCTGTTTTTGTTGCTTTTGTTTCTGTGTAGGTTTTTTGTGTTATGGTATTGTAGTATAGTTTTATAGTATAAAAATATGTACTATCTAAATGTCTTTGATATGTATATTTTGTTATTCATTACATTTTATTTAAGAGCGCTTCTTGTTTTAGTGTGCTCTGCTGTCGACGAGTGTCATTGTCTTTTGAATATTTCATTTATGTAGCGGAACCAAGGCCTCTTCAGACCTTCTGGTCTTCTGCCTTGGTACTGCAGACAAAATGTATTGTCTGAACATACTGAAATAAAAAAAAATCATGCGTCTTCGGTGCACGCAAATAAAGTTTGCTGCTTGCTTATGCCGCTTTAGCTACGACCGGTTAGTTACTGCGACAGGAAAAAAGGCTTCAATCCCACGTAGAGAACATGCTCGCACTGAACCAAAATAGGTACGCCAGCTGCGCAAGCACACTGCGAGGCGCATCTTTTGTTATGAAATGAGTTAGTGCTGAACAAATAATAAAGATTCCCGGTTTTTTCAGCCAGATGCTCTCGAATTTCGACTTTTGAATAACATTTTCAAGGTTGGTTCATGCATTTGCTTCAGTTCCTCTAAGAGCAACTTTAGCGAAAACAAGTACAGAAATAGCGCGACAACAGTACAAATGATATATGTGGCACACAACTCAAAC